CATGCTGACAAAGAACTAGGTCCACAAAGCAAAATAGCTGTTCTCTGCCTCAGCTCACAGTTTGCAAAGGAGATAAAACAGTAAATCTAGGCTTATAGTACAGTGAGATAATAGAGATGAATAAAAGGCCCATGGAATCAGAGAAAAGGGAGTGACTAATTCTGCTTGACTTAAAGAATAATATACATCCTTGCATATTTATAGAGCAACTTCTACAATTTTCAATTACCTTAAATATGAAGGAGAATTTTAGATCAGGGAAGGTTATTGCTAATTCTCTAGACTAGATTGAGTGCCCTTGATATGTGACTCCAGAATACCTTGTACTTTCACTACCCTAGTGGTAATTTACTTGTATTGTAATTGCCTGTTTATTTGTCTATCTTAAGGTAAGTAATGTTTTTCTTACTTATTAGTATATCTCCAGCACCTTGCATAGTACTTGTACAATAAATATGATGAATGAACTACCAGAGATTCATATTTTGGAACACAGTAATAATACGTTCCATTTTTTTCTGAAAAAAATTTGCAAATTATAAAATATTCACAACACTTGTTAAGAAGGGGTTAGGCCTTTTTACCCCATTTTTTCAGAAATGCAGATTAACATGTACCTAGCCATATTAAGTGATTGGATCAAGCTCAGTAATGAAATCAGCTTCAAAACAATTTGGAAATTTCCAAGATGGTAATCAAGTGTTTACTGTCTCAAAGGGTTACCAGGCCAGCAGTATCAGCATCACCTGAGAAATAGTTGAAAATGTAAATTATCACCTGAATCATAAACTTGGGGATGGGTCCCAGAAATTTGTAATTTAATAAGCCCTCCAATGATTCTAATGCATGCTAAAGTGAAAGAACTACTGAAATAAATAATGGTTTTGAAAGTTGTGTTAACACCAGAAATCTTTCTTCACATGAATCTATAATAGAAGCCAATTATTTATATAAAGTATAAATAAGACTGGGGTTATGTGTATGTACAATGTCAAGAATATCTTGAAAACCAATTTAGTATATTTGTTTACATTCTTATAATAATATTATTTTAAGAATTAGATTAAAATGTTACCTTATTGTTATTTCATATTTTTTCAGAAATAGAGTAAACATTCATAGTTCAAAGTCTCTTCTCTTTTGCATCATTTGTATTTTGATCCATTTCTAATTTTTGTGGTACATAGATTTACCTATATGTAGAAAACTCATTTGCTATTATCTTCTTTTGCAGGTTTGTTGGGCGAATCAGTATCTATAAAAATACTCTCGAGGCTGATGCGAGGTTAATTTGCTATTCCTTTAAACTGTCCTTTGAGGGGGTATTAAAATAGCCAATTTTTTTTATAAAAAGAGGTTGAAGGTGAATAAATCTGGAGTAACTACCCAGTATCCCACTAATTGGTCTTAAGTAACCATCCTTGTAATTGGTAGGAGCTCTTATGTTGTAGGGTCTTTGAGTTTTTTGTGTCCTGGGCAAAGGGATAGTATTGGAAATGATGCTGAAGGTTTCCAGAATTGCAGAGCTCCAGACACTTTGATATTCCCAAATCTCTTCTAGACACTATATTTATTGTCATAGGTTGTTCAGTGGCAGACCGTATTGGAAATATATGTGGAGAACAGTGAGTGGTTTAAGGGAGAGTCATTGAGGGTATGGGCAGTGGATAAAATCTGGGAGAATTACCTGGAATGCTAATCATTTTTAATGCAGCAATTCATATACAAAAGGTTTTTCCCCCCTCTATCATTTAGTACCTCAACTTTTCTATTTGGCCTTTATACCATACTCAAAAGGAAGTAAAAGAAATGCCCAGTTGCCCAATGATCCCTCCAAAGGCAGGTTTACTCTCCTGTCTATAAATATGTCAGTGTGTCTTTCCCACCTTGGTGTTTTATCTGTTACATTCTCTTTCTGTCTGCTGCTTTGTCCTGTTCACGTCTTTCTATGACTCATAATCCTTTTATCTCTCTGTGCATCTCTTTACCTCTGTGTGTTGCTGGCTACTCCTGTACTGTGCTTTTAACTGTGTTGTGCCCTGGAGTAACTTTAGAGGGAAGGGTCTTTCAGGTTGTCCTGGGGAGTAAGCATGTGATATAATTAGACAGATATATTCTGAACCCAGGACATAGACGTATGGGCGAAATATGTCCCCAAAGTTGATGGTGCTATTTATTGGACTGTTTGGATAAGCTGTGTTCATTTTTTATTTAGGTCTTTGGGACCTGAAAATCTCTTGTTGAAAGGAGCTACACTGAAAAATACCGAGAAGATATATGGTGAGCAATTTTTAAGACATACCTACCAGAAATATGCTTTATAAGCCTGTGCATAAATAGTGTGTGTTAAATTTTAACAGCAAATAACTGCCATTTAGTCTAAGCCTACTTTTAGGTGTTGGGAATTTATAAGATGGTAAACTACCTGAAATATGATAAATAAATTATATATGATTAAAATTGTGCTATCAAAGATATAGGAACTGGTGAACAGAAGAGGGTTTAAAATTCCTGCTTTTATAGGATGAAAAAAAAATTGATAGTTCCAGTTGGATGAGGAGTTAGTTGTAACTTAGTTTTCATTTTATTCTGTTATTCCTTAGGAGTTGCTGTTTACACTGGGATGGAAACCAAAATGGCTTTGAACTACCAAGGGAAATCTCAAAAACGTTCTGCTGTTGAAAAGTTAGTATGCACTGCAGTTTCTTTAGTTGTTATTGAACTGAAGTAGTTACTTCTCAGCAATTACATTAAGAACCATAGTGAAAAAACAACATCAGTTATAATTGCAGCTACCATTTTGAGTACTTTTTATGTTCCAGAAACTGTGCTTAATGATTTGTATTTCTGATTTGGTGTAATCCTCTAAGCAGCTGTATGGAGTAATTCTCATTATCCTGTTCACTTTACAGATGCAGAAATCATCTCAGAGATAGGTGACTTACCTAAGCTCACATAGATATTCAAGGCAGATTTTGGTTGAAATATAAATTTATTCCCTTTGCTTCTAGATAATGGTTTGGGGTCCTATAGTTGCTATATGTAAGGAGGTTCTACAACATAGATCATAGTCTCCAGGCAAATGTTGAAGTGGTATCTGGTAGACCTTCAAGCCGTCTGCCACTGGCATGGACCTAGCTATTGTTGGCATGGATATCAAGTACATCAGTGGCATCCTCTTCATAGCTCTACTTTCTGACTAAAAGAGTCGCAGTAAGCTTGAGGATTGCACACTTGCTTTCCCACCCTCTACTCCAAGTCTTTAGGATTAAGGAAAACAGATATAACCTACTCCTTCTATAAGGTAATGGTGTGTTTGCACCATTACCAATGAATAGGTAATGGTGTGTTTGCGTGTGTGTGTCCTGTTACGTTATAGGATCCTTATTAAATATGTGTTAAGCTAGTCAACCATTGCACTTTGGGGAGCATTGGTGATAAACAAACAGGTCAGGACTGGCTTTTCCATTTTACCACTTGAGAGTGATAATCATACATATAGGCTTGTGCTATGGTAATACATCATACTCAGAAGAAGCTTTAGAAGACTGGATGATTTAAGTTATACCTGGTTGATATCTTAAGTAATTAGATGGTTTTCAATCCATGTCTTATTTTTCAGGTCCATTAATCTCTTCTTGATTGTGTATTTATTTATCTTACTGACCAAAGCTGCAGTATGCACTATTCTAAAGTATATTTGGCAAAATACCCCATATAATGATGAACCTTGGTATAACCAAAAGACCCAGAAAGAGCGGGATACTTTGAAGGTACTTTGTTTTATGCTTAAAATTTTAACTAGCACCTTGTTATCACACCACCCTTGATTCAAATGCTGCTCAAATTAATGGTTTTGTTGGTTTCTGGGTTTCCTCTTGGTTGTATAGTAATCCTATGCCATTATGTGGTTTAAAAATTTTAGAGTTTTGTTTTATTTTGATTTGGGTATCTATGCTTGTTTTAGCTCTTTACTTCAGAGTTTTGAACAATTGGGCAAGAAGCTGGCATAAAAATACAGTATGAGCTTGTGATATATCGTGCAAGGAGCAAAATAAATGCCTACATAGAAACTTTGCTTCTATATTACTAGCTTGGGGTAGGAGAAGCACACAACATAAGGAAGTGAAGAAGTACTAGTATGGAGTCAAAAGGTACATTCACTGAAGAATAATGACAAAATTAAGGGTGTTTTCACATACTGTGATAATACGTTTGACCAATGATACAGTGTCTTTGGGAAGTTGTTTCAGTGTAGCAAGACAGTGCTTTCAGCATCAAAATAAAAAGATAGAAACTTAAGTAGTTCTTTATATTGCACTTGTTTAATGGAAGTACATTTAATTAGCATAAACTTTTTTTTGTTGTTTTAGGTTTTGAAAATGTTCACCGACTTCCTATCATTTATGGTTCTGTTCAACTTTATCATTCCTGTCTCCATGTATGTCACAGTAGAAATGCAGAAATTCTTGGGCTCCTTCTTTATTTCATGGGATAAGGACTTTTATGATGAAGAAATTAATGAAGGAGCCCTGGTTAACACATCAGACCTTAATGAAGAACTTGGTCAGGTTAGAACTTATTTTTACTTAAAATAAATTAATATAGTTAAAATATATTTTCTTGTAGTCTGGATTACCAACATATGTGACCATATCATGTTTGGGAATGTGAATCAAAACAAAAAATGTATACAGACATACCTTGAAGGCAAGCAATGTTTCCATAGCTATAGCATCAGTTATTTTGCTGGCATTTTGGAGAAAGATCCCAATATGTATTGAATTTAAATGTTACAGAAATTCTCTTTAAAACTTGATGTTGTTAGATTATGGGTTATCGCTTTGGAACAGGAAACATGTGGTCTTCATCACCATCTATAACTATTTGGGGATAGAATATGGGATAGCAAATAACATTATTTTGTAAATGTGTTTTGTTCCATAAGCTAGATTGACCAGAGTTGTCTTGTTGGCATTTTCTTAGAATATTTATGGTCAGATGGATATAGACCAGAAAGCAGTTGTTTATTCCAGTTCAAAATTTTGAATGAAAAGAAAATGTGAGGGCATGCACTCCTCAAAATGTTTTTTGCTCTATATACCAATGTAGCCCAAGCTTTCACCTTGTTTCTAACCCAAGAGCATTTGTTTTCCAATGCAATGCAATCTAGCTGTAATTCTTCAAGTGATGACTTCCTAGGTGCTTTTTTTAATCAGTATTGAGAGAGTTTTTCCCTTTGTCTGAATTTACTGTGTGATGTGTAATTTTCACAAGCTGAGGAAATTTTTTGGCTTCATTTAATTCTCATATTTATAATGTCAGGGATGTGGAAATGTCATTTCTGTGACTGTGAGATACAAATTCAATGGAACTGTTTGGGTGAAACAGGGCCTCAAACTTGTTTTGAATGGTGCTAATTTGCATCTACACCTCTAAACTGTCTTACTGAATTTAGTACTCCTCCACCCATCCCCCATCTCTTATTTCTATTGTTTATACAACCTTTACCTAAATCAAAGTACCCTCTTGACATCTACAATCACAAGGGTGAAAGAACTCTCCAGATTTTGTTGAAACCTGACTTTGGGACTCCAGAATCCCAAACCATGGAATCTGCATCCCACAGTGATACTTAGTCACCAAGGATACAACAAGAAATAAATGAATGAATACTTTTCCCTTCGATATTGTTCCCAGAAGATTTCTCTTTTTTGAGTTTAATGTTTTTTATTCAAGGGAAAACAATCCATGGATTGGGCACGTACAGTGCCTCCCAAGCAGTGGGGCCCTCTGCCAGAGGGATTTGGGGCATGTTTCTAGAGCTTTAGGATTGGCTAGAAGGGCGGGGATTTCCTTCTAAGGCCAGCAAATCCTGTTTTCCAGGGTGAGGTGAGCTCACTAACGCTGAGTTGGAGGATGATCAGTGCTTTGTTCGCTCCCCTTCCAGGTGTTCCCTTTACATGCAGGCTGACTTAGGTTTAGATTTGTGACCTGGGCTGGGCCCCTGAGGTGACATCCAGTGTATGGGTCCCAATATGCAAATCGACTTTATCAGAAGCAAAGGAAGACCCTTTCTTAGCTACACAGCCATGCTCTCAGAGTGACTCAACAGTTACCCAGTCACCCTAACTCTTACCTTCCTCAGAGGCATTCATCTGGTGCTCCCCTTCCCAAAGAGAGAGGAGCATCAGCAAGACCTCCTGCACAGACCGCAGCCAGAGTCACCTGCTGACATCTTTTTACTTACTCAGCCTGGACAATGCGCACCCAGGCTTTAGAACAGGTGCAAACCTACAAGATTACCTCCACTGTAAAAGCTCCCCCCGCATCCCCAGGCGGAATTAGCAGCTGGCTCCTTTGTGGTCTTGTGTTTTCACAATTTCTGGACTAGTTGCATTTTGTAGTAATATAGTTAAAAACACTGGGAGCAGGGGACAAGGGGATAGAAACATCTCTGGTAGGCAAAATGCTCTCAGACTGAAGGTTCCTAGAAGGTGCCTCTTTTTTTTTATTATTGCTTAAAATATTACGAGTAGTACATTTG